GTAAAGGCTCTTTAATCCCTGAATATCAGCTATTAGAGCTCAAAAGGAAATCATGTCCACTTTCCTGCTTCACCTGCTCCACCACATGTAATAAGAAATGAGGTTTTCACATTTCTCCAATCACAGTATTTCAGCCTGAATCAGCATCTTCCATAACAAAAGAAGAAACTGTAAGTAAGTTCTGAAAAGAGTAAAAAGAAATTTTTATTAAGGTGCTATTACTAATGAAAAACCTAAAGGAGTTATTAGTGCAGCTTTTTACACTTCTGAGTGTCTTCAAAACACTTCCTTAGTTCCCCCAAAAAAGGGAGACAATAGACATGCAAACTGAGCCAAAATGGATTTTGCTACCAACTGTCATCAGAAGTCATCACATAAATAGTAAACTTGCAAAAACCATTTTTTAGCCTTTTTGACAGTTTTAAAAATACAGATTAATATCTTACACATTTAAAGCAAATAAACAAAGAAATAAAACCAACAAAAGAAGTATCAAATAGTTTAGCTATGCAAATCTATAGAATATATTTTAAACATCTCAGGTACTGTTTTTAGTTATTTAAGTATGACTTTAAATTTTCAAACTCTTACCTGGTTAATCAAGTATTTGTCTCATCAAAGGTGTCCTTACGTCACACTTTTTAGAAAGAAAGCAAAGAAGATGCTATTTTAACTGCAGCAGGGTGAGTTCAGCTTTGCTGTCTCCATTAGAGTGTAGCAGGACTGCATTTGAGCTAACACATTTAAATCCTTCATTAGAAAGAAAATTCAATGTAGGAAAAGTAGCAGAATTAAATTTAATCCTATTGTTACAGATTACATTAAAAATGAGGCATAAACCACAGCCAAGGAGAAAAGGAAAGACTATGTGGGACAAATCTAGAGCTGTTTGAAGACACTGACATATATTCCTTCAAAGTTTACTCCAGTGTCTTGGCATTTTGTGGGCACCACACAATAATGCAGTAATGGCCAAAGGCACACATTGTTACTCATTCTTAATTCACTGCCTCCTGAGCTTTTCCAGCCACCTCTCCACACCAAGGTTTATGTGTCATTCAGACCTCTAGCTCTGAAAAGCACCTTAGAAACACCTTTCTGTTCTTGCCGTCTATGTCTTTACCCTACCTGGATTCCTTATCAGGAACAGGTCCTTGCCCTACCTAGACTCCTTCCCAGGAACAAAGCAGCAAGACCCCTTACTCTGAGAAGAGAGTGAGGAACCTCATGGGCCCAGTTTGCATTCTGAGCTAACTGCATGGTCCACCATGGACATAAATTGGAAAGACACTCCTTGGAGTAGTGAACAAGTTCATGGGATGGTCCAAGTCAGATTCATCTGTGGCTTCCACCCTTTTTTGCAGTGAGGAGATACTGGCACACATTTTCTTCATGTGTGTCATGATGCAGTCCCTCTGGCAACACTTCTCACTCCTTATTTTTATCCTCCTTATCAAAGACCACACCAAGTCCTAGGACTTTCTCAGTAACATCCTTTAGATCTGGTCAAAACTGCAGTCCATGAACCCTGGAGAAACAAGCTCATCAGAGACCCCACTTTTAATTCCTTGTCCCATCACATCTTTAGGAAGTGCATCCCTGGCCTTCATACATCAGCCCTGTGGGCACTTTCAGGGTGTGTTGAGTGCTATTGGGGGTGTTCTGCCCTATGGTGCCCTTAGTTCTTTTTATTTTGTTATTTTGTATATTTTTGTCCTTCAGTCCCCTTCTTTTTTCTTTCATTTGTCATCCACTGTAATTACTAGGTTTTCTCTTTCTGTAATCCACCTTCTCTTTTTTCCTTGGTTTTATAAAACAGAGAAATATTAACATTTCCAGATGTGATCTGGTTTCTCCACAATAGAGAAAAGTGGCCATGGGGGGCACGGGTGCTATCCCTACACATCTCCTGCATGGCAGTGAGAAGGGATGTCTGGCTCAGCAGCACAGCTCCTATGCTGCCTTCCCCACACCATAGCAGAGGGAGATCGCAACCTGCTCTCACACCAACACCCTGCACCACCAGTGCATCATCTCTACCACCATCATCCCTACCACTGCTGCTGACCTCCCATCCCTCTCTGCCCCAACATGTGTGGGGCTGCATCTGGGCACCACTCCCTGGTCAGTCAGGCCACCAGGAGTTCAGGGATGGGAAGAACCAGCTTCTATTCCTGTGATGGGGGTAGGCAGCAACCTATGCTGTGTGCTGCTAATTTCAGTTTCCAAGTGTGCTCTAGGGAAGTCTGAGAAGAATTGTTAAAAATTACATATCGTGTTTGTACACATACACAAAAAAAACCCAAACCCAAGACAAAACTCAAACCATCTCAGTACAAGATAATGAAGCTTTCAGTTAAAAGGTGCATGTTTGTCAGACAGAAAGCATTACTGATGCTGAAAGGGACTTCTGTGACAAAAATCCATACGAAATAAAGCAACTTTAGAAAATATATATATATGCAATTAGTACTATTTTTTCTTCCTTAAATCTTCAGTTTGTTGGTAACAGTCATTCAGAGTTTATAGCTTCTGTAGCTGCTTTTGTTAAATGTATCAACATACATGTAAACCATCATGAAGAATTTCCATATAAGCAATAAGTGCTAATTACACTGTGGAAACCAAGACAACCTTCCTTATCCTAATTCACGCAGGCATGTTGCAAAGAATTCTAAATATTCCTAAATCTGTTCCTTAGTGGAATCAATGTCTGGCATTCCATACAGTCCCATGGCAACAGGGAATAAAAAGCAGGAAAGGCTTTAATTATCATATATTAAAATGTACTTTGAGCATTATCTGTGAAAGAGACAGAGAAGACATTGTGTATCAGACCAAATATGTACTGGATTATAATGGAGCCCATGTAGTGACATCACTACAAACATTCTGTGCTAGATTCACTTATCTGGAGAAAACACTGCACCCAGTCAGGCCTCACCTCCTCAGCACCTCTTGGGTGCAGGATGCTGCCACCACTCCTGATCTGCCTGCATAATTACCCATAACTGACCTAGTCAAGACGACACATGTTAGGATCAGGCTACAAATTAGTGTGACGCAAACCCCTCCACACCAGTGGACCCTCTAGTTCAACACAAGTGTCATACAAAAAAAAGTAGATGTGATTCCAACTCAAACTCCACCGACAGTTTAGCCAGCTTCACTCAGTGATATCTTGGGCCCCTAGGAGACTGGTCTCCGAAGTCAGTGGCTTATCTTCTGACTGGAAAATAAATGCTTTTTTTCACAGCAACCAAAAATAAAATTGCAGAGTTTAAAGAAACAAAGTTGTTTAATTCCTAATAAAAACAATTTCTGACATTGGTATATACTGCAGACTCCAAAATGCTAGAGGAATGTATTTATTATGAGCTTATATGATCTCAGCACACAAACTGAAGCTGTTTTCTGGTATGTGCAATCCTAAATGCTTTCAGTGTAAACAGATTCAGCATTATTACTTCTTCAGTCTTTACTGATATTAAAGGAAGGATCAAACAATGAGTGCTCCAAATCCATATAAAAAGCAAATGAATGAATGCTTAAATCACTGGCATTCTCTCACATTACATTTCACTGGGAGACGACCTCCACTACAAGCAACTTCTTCCCTTTTCAAATAAGATACCACAATCATAATTTTAAACAGTGGAAATAGAGCAGAAAGAGCACTGCAGGGTTTCCTTGGCTTTTAAGGATGGATTTTGACATAGTCTTTAACTGAGTTAATCAGAGTGTTACAGGTGTTCACTTTAAGGTATGTTTTGCAAGCTATTATTAAAAAAATATAACCAATTTTCATAAGTTACGAAGTCTTTATAGACAAGTGTGTTCAATCCTGATTCGAATACAATTGAAATTTATGTCTGCTGAAGACTATCCTCAGGTGTAATCAAACAATTTACTGAATTAGCAAAAAAAACCCCCAAAATTACAAGAATCTATTTAAAAAAGGATTAAAAGATTTAAAGAAACATTACTGTAATTGTGAAGATATATCACTAAACTCAAGATTTCACATTATGCACCAATATAATGCAGTGCCTCGGTTTAAAACCCAACAAAATAAAATGGGATAATTTCTATGGAGAAGGACTTAAATATTTTCACTTCTGACTTAAAAAAACCCTGCTTAGATAACAGAAGAAAGATAATTTCATTTAATTCAAGGTTGCAATTACACTGCAAGATTTTGTCTTTCAGAGCCTGAAGCACAGTCCAACAGGCACTCAGTTGTTATAAATTCCTTAAGTACCCATTCACAGTAACTGGAAGGAAAAATTGGGGATCCAGCTCTTTGTTTCTTCCTAATTTGACAAGTACTGAAGATGAAAGTGTTACTTTCTATTTGTTTTGGGGTATTTTCTTTTTTTTCCACTTTTCTAAAAGTTCAGAAGACAAAAAGAATAGTTTGAACAAAAGTTTAAGACTGACAATTACAACAGAACAGTTTGGATCCTCTGAATTCCCAGAAACCAAGCTAGTTCTGGCAGTCACCTCTGGTAACCTGCTCTTCTACTAAGGCACAGATACACGTACATACACTTTCTCAGCAGAAAGAAACAAATTGATTAAAAGTACCTCTGTGCTTGACTTGGTTTAAGTTGCTCACTGGCTGTTAGCATAACACTGTAACTTGGCAAGGGTCATATCTGGCATCTAAAACCTTCCTCAAAAGAATAAGATTTCAGTATATGGCCTGTTACAGGCCCATCCCAGAGGTGCAGAAGACAGGGCTAAACCCAGTTTTTGCAGCTGACACCCTGGAAGCTGAAGGCCCAGGCACACCCATTTCCAGATACCTTTTAACTCCAGTTAATACCAGACTTGCCATCGTCAGTGAGGGAAGCAGCACGGGCACCTCACAAGCTGGAATGAGGGGACTGCAAACCAGGGACACCTTATCCAGAGGGGCACTTCACCTTTCATGCTAGCTCCGGCCAGCCTTTGCCCAAGCTGCAGAGAGCTGAGAACTGGCAGCTCAGCTTTCCTACCTGTCAGCACTGAGGGCAGTGAGAGTGAAGACGGAGACACCAACGGAGGTGAGCTGTATGACAGGGATGAGCTTGCAGCCCAGCTCCCCAAAGAGCCACTCCTCAGAGAAATACCGGGAGGCGTCCACGGGGACACAGGTCACTAGCAGCAGCAGATCACCAGCTGCAAGGCTGGAGATGAAGATGTTGGGCACACTTCTCATGGCACTGTTGGAAATGAAGATCTTCATAAGTGTGATGTTGCCCAGCAAGCCGACAGTGATGATGAGGAGGTAAAGCGATGGGATCACACAACGGATGATGAACATGGCCATGCCCTTCTCTGGGGGCAGCAGGGCTGTGTCGGGCACCAGGTGGGCACTCCCATTCTCCCCAAGGGGCATTGTTGTGAGCTCGGGCGAGAGCTCTGGCTCCATCCTCCAGCTTCGGGTGGACTGAGGGTCTCTAGCGCAAAGTGCAGTGGGAGCCACTGGAAAGCTTTACTTTTCTGCAAGTCAACCAACTTTCTCCCCCCTTCCCTACTGCCTTTCTTCCTTCCCCTTCTTTGACGAGTTTTTTCCCTTCAGAAATGCAGAAGAATGTCCAACGGTGCAGTGGCGGGGGAGGGGAATAAAAATTCCCATGTTCTGCCCCTCAGCTTTTCGCACAAGCCTGTCCCAGTGGGCAGGTGGGCAAGAGATCCTGCGCCTTGCGGGCAGCGAACGCCGTCAGGACAGCGGCTGCCTGCCCTCGTCCCCGGGAGAGCCCTCGGATGCTCGGTCCAGCCACCTCCCCGCGCCCGCAGCGGCCCCGGGGCCGCCAGCGCTGTCCAGCGGCGCCGGCGCTGCTCGGCCCGCAGCTGCGGGCGGCGGCGCCGGAGGCGGGGGCGAGGCGCAGAGCAAGCTCCCTCCTTACTCCGCAGCCCCGGTTTATACCTGGTACCGGGAGGGGCCGCCCCGCCTCTCCTCCTGCAGGCGCCTGTGCCCTCTCCCCCAGCCCCGTGCTGCCGAGGTGGATCTTGCGCGAAAGGGAGAGGCGGATCCCGGAGCCGACGCCGTCCCGCGGGGTCCCAGCCCCTGAGCGCGATGGAGACGACGGGAGGAGCGGGAGGGGCGAGGGGAGCCTCACCCCGCGCCGCTGCCCTCCGCAAGCAGTCCCCGAGAGGTGCTCTCCGACAAACTGGAGGACTGTCCGCCACGTCGGGCAGAACGCGGGATCGCCTCCGGAAACCAGTCTTCCAGCATTTTACCCAGGTGAAACCACGGCACTTTGAAACGCAGGGTGACGGGGAGCGAGGGACTTGGAAATAAAGCGATTTTATTCCTGACATCCAGCTGTGGGTTCTGCATAGATTTTACTCAAAGGCATCAGCTGTGTTTAAAGTGCTAGGGTTTGATTCGCGAAGTTGCATTTCATAGTGGTCTCGACATGGAAAGGGAGACAGGTGTTGTCTTTTATCCGTGACTTACTATGCAAATGGTATAACACAGTGGAGAATGAATGTTTGCCTCTTTGAAGAGTAGCATTTGTCCCTAGTGTTTCTCGCTTTTCAGTGAGGTAATGTCTTTTACTTCCTAGTGTCTGCACGTGTGTAGGCTTTCCAAACAGTTCCATCTGTTTCCAGCAGAAGCCATGAATGTACATAGCCGTGTACATATGCTGGAAGACGGGCAGACCTACTGAACTGAAGTTTTCAAGACAAAGTACTAACACAGAGGAATAACAGCATTAGCCATTAACATGCTCTGCAGACTTTTTCATTTATTTCTTTTTCTCAAAAGGAGGATGTATGAGCTTGTAGCAAACTTGCTTATTCATGTTATTAAGAGTTCTCTTGAAGCTCTGTGAGTTTATGACATGTGTATGGAGAGTCTGTCCACTCAAATATCAGAAGCAAAGCATGTCCCATGTGCAGTGATACATAGTCTGTCCATGGCATGCTATCTAGTGTAGGAATTAAATCAGAGATTTCTCTTAAATAAATTTTTACTAAGATTATCAAACAAAAAGCATTAATGTTTCTTAAAAGTTACACCTCTCTGTATCAATTGATTGATCGCTGTGATTCTTCTCACATCCCTGAAGATATAAATGTGTTAAAGTTGTGTAAATTAGTGATTCATATAATGCTGAATAATTTGTTAGAGACCCAGCCAGTGCTTCGCCTCAGAAAAGATCAGGCTAGAGACTTCACCTTTACCACTAGGCGGCTCATTGGAATTGTCACAGAGCTCCTCTGGAAGTGATTCTTATTACTGATCAAGTTTCCTCCACACAGTGTTAAATGCATCTACAGTTCCTCCGAGGCAGCCTTACTGATGGCTTAGATATTTATCTAAATTGCTGTGACCCTCTCCTTTGCTGAGCATACATGAAATTTTCTAAGATCATCAATATTCAGGTCTCTGCTAACACTCTGAATCAGTCTTTTTGGTTCCCATTGCGGGATCTAATATATGTCTTTAACACTGTGAGCTAAATTTTAATGCTGAGAGTATGATCCTTTTGCTAATTTATTTGAAAATGGGTTTATATATGAACAATCAATATGCTTCCCATTGGGAGAACAGTTTAAATTCAACATATATTTAATATTAATTTATTTGGGACAAGAGGAAGTTGAGTCTTATCGCATGAATATCATCAGAAGAACACTTTAAAAGCTTCTACTGGCAGAAGCTTATTGCAGTTTGAGTGGAGAGAAGTGAGACTCCTTGCTTTTTGTTGCACAATATTACCACTCCTAGTGCTGCCTTCCAGGAGAATTTCTTCTATCCTAATAAATTTTTTCTGTCCTTTAGTCCACAGTAATTCCTAAGGTTAAGGAATTAGAAACATTTTCAGTGTGAATTTATGTTCTTTATTTTTATCAGTACTTGATTTTATCTACTCTATGTTTTTCAGAACTCTGAACAGCAAGGAAATAAGCTTTGGAGAGAGTGAGTGACTCCAGCTCAGAGAAAACAAAAATTTAGATTATGCTTCTAGTGTTGTTCAACAGATGTCTGTGTAAAGACAAGGGAATACACTCAAACAGTATGAATATAATTTCCCACAGAGGCAAAAAGTTATTGAGGGGAAGATCCACAGACCCTGACATAAACCAGTTGGAATTCAGATCTCCACATAAACTGTTCTTCATTCTCTTTTCAAACAAAATTAGTACACCCGCATCTTTGGATCTTATTTCAGATTACAGCCTTGAGACAATCTCATCATGCAGCTGTGACACAGTACTTGGCACAAGAGCAAGGGAGAGAGTGCCACAGGTAAGTGTCCTTAGTGAGAAAGAAACTGCACAGGCACAATCAGCCAGCACAGATGTAGTGTATCTGGGAATGCAACACCATAGGGCAGGAACCACAAATGTGAGAGGTAAATACTCTTCATCAGTAATTCCCAAACGTAGGGATTCATAATCAGTTCATGTAGGAATGAGGAACTCCACACACCTCACAAACGCCCTCTACCGAGAAGTTGTTCTGACAGAGAAAAACACTTCTTTCCCACGTTTGTGCAGCTCAAGGCACTTGATAATTCCAGGGCTAATTCCAGCTTTGCACATCACAACAAGCTTTGTGTAGTCCCATGAAAATTCAAGCATATCTGCCACCAAAACTACCTGCAGTAAGAAGACTTTATTCAGTATATGTGCTTGCACATTAAATGAAAACTGGGTTCAAATGCAGCCCTGGAAGTGATCGTTTGAAAGCCTGATCATCAGTCACACATTAAAAAGAAACATGGCAACAACCAAGGAAGAAATAGTATTTGATTTTAAACACTGAGCATTGGGAACCAAGCCTTTCAATAAATTTTGTAGTATCACACATTAGACCAGCAGACACAGCTGGAAAAAGTGGGCATGCATTGTAACAGAGAGTGACTTCTTCCAGACAGTCAAATGTACAATAACCTTAAGTAACTCCTGTTTTCTTTCTTGGTACTTCTCAATAGAGGCTTTCTTATTTTGATGGAGGGTTTTTTTGGCAGAGATTTTCATTTCAGCTTCTTGAGTTAGGGGCTCTATTTAAAGGACAAGAGGCTACTGAAATAGATCATTTCCCCAGGTTTCAGAATACATAACAGGGTTTGCAACTGTTCCTATGTGGGTAGCTACAAGTGGGTCCAAGAAGCAGCTGGGAAGAGTAGGCAGAGTCGAAGAAAGGCAGGGAAAGAGACAAGGTCTCTCTAGCTTGGTATGAAATACTCCATGTTTGGAGTCAAGGAGGACAACTGTTCAGTTTCTAAGATCATATCTCTAAGGCCAGACCTCAAACTCTAAGGTTAGACATTCAAACGTCAAGCCTCTACAATTCTTTTACTAGTAAAATAGCACTGGAAGTTAAACATCTCATAGGCATTGCCAGTGCACTCCCTGGGAGAAGCTGATATGAGAAGAATTATTCTAAAGATAAGAATTATTGTGGATTTGTGTGGAGAATGTCACAAATAGCATAAGCTAGAAAACTAAATATGTTTAAAAGAGAAACACTAAGTTCAACTATGGCTGCTCAGGGATAAGCTAACTAACATAAGTCTGATATGTGCCATGTAGTCCTTTCCTCTTCAAGACTCCAGGGAACAGAAGAAATACCTACATTCTGTGGTTAATGCTGGGCTCTGTCTAACACCAGTACTATATCCCTGGAGCACTGGGCTACAAGCAGAAGTTTGTGGCCTCCCAAGCCTGGAAAGCTCCAACAAACACCAATATAGAAATTCTTCCTGTTAAGTCTGTATGGCTGGGCAAACCATGTGTAGAAAAGAATACTAGTGATTCATCATGTGTATTTTTTAATTTTTTTAGATTAAATTGACTTTGAATTAATTTAAAAAAAAAGTGGAGAAGAAGCTGTATTTATGACACATCTTCCCATATTGCGTGGCATGGCTGAGCCATATCCCTGTCCAATAAACCTAGACATTAGTCCACCCCTCTCAGCTCTCAGACTGTACATCCTGCCTCCTATTTTTTGAGCCACACATAAATCGGCAGTGAGGAGGACCTGAGGGAGTCACCTGACTCCTAAGACTCCCGGACTAGCAGAAGGTGAAGCAACCTCCATCTCAGGTCCAAATTGAAGTGCAGGCACCAGTCCGCAACTGATAGAGGCCTCCACTGGACCTAAGCTTCAACACAGGGAACTCTGCAAAGCAAAATGGAAATTCAGGTGCTTCCAACATTAGATAAAGCTAGAAAGCTGTCAGAAGCAGCTGTTCTCCAATATTTAACATGCTACCTCTCTTTTTGCAGAAAAAAACTTATTTTATTGATACCAATTCAATTTTTTGTGCCATTTTCACGGTGCTGTTTTTTTCATGGTACAAGGGTAAAAGGGGCCACTGCATTTAACCATTCTATTAAAGTAATGTCGGATGGTAAGGCTGACGGATTGACGGAGAGATAGACAACAGGTTAGCAAAGGCATATAGT